CGGAACAAGCGGCAGAAGAGCAAGAGCTCATCCAGTGCGAGGGATGACATCGCCAAGCGAAAGGCGAAGACGAAGTGCAACACGTGCGGAGAGCAAGGACATTGGAGTGGCGATCCTGAGTGCCGCCAGCGTGGCAACAATAACAACAACAACAACTCGAGCAACCCGCCGCGCAGGATGATCGATGTGGTTACTGTGAAGACAGCCAAGTCGGCTGCACCGACTCAAGCTGAAGGACAAGAGCATGTACTCGCGGTGCGTGACAACTTCAACTACAAGGACAAGGACAAGGACCAGGACATGGTGGAGTGGGTGTTGGATAGCGGCGCGCAGACCAACGTCTCGAGCGACCTTACCTTGTTTACGGAGCTACACGAAGACTCAGTTGCAGAGCTAGTCTTCGGCAACGGCACAACCGAGCGCGCAACTGTAGGCACAGTGCTTATGCAAGTGCTGAACGAGCACACGGGCAAGATCGAGGAGCGCCTCCTTGATGACGTGAGCTACGCCAAGTCGGCTGCCTACAACCTGATCTCGCAGACCTACATGCAATTCAAAGGAAACTTCAAGGTGCGCATCTCGCATGATCAGAAGACTACGTGGCTGGTCAAGGACACATTGAAGCTGCGCTTCCAGTACATCCGCGGGATGTACCGCATGTGGACGCCACGTCAGAGCAAGAACGTGATGAGCGTCAAGGCCAGTGAAGCTGAGAACCCCATGACGTTGCTGCACAACCGCATGGGCCACGTAAACATGGAGACTATCAAGACTATGGCAGGAACCTATAACTTTGGCATCAACATGCAGTCGAAGAATTTTGCTCTCTATGAATGCATTCCATGCTTAGAGTCAAAGACGAAGCGCATGAGCTACAAGCGCAAGCCGTCTCGCTCTGCAAAACCCTTGCACAAGCTTTGTGTCGACCTATGCAGTGTTGGAGTGGATACAATATCGAAATCAAACCAGTTTCTATTGATTATCGACGAAGCTACGAGATACAAGTGGGGATATCTATTAGCCTACAAAGACGAAGCCACGGAGCTGATTCAGAAGCAGATTCGCTGGATCCAGAACCAGTTCCCGAAGGCGACCATCAAGATGCTGTTCTCCGATGGTGGTGGCGAGTTCGTCAACATGCAGCTCGAGACCTTCTGCAAGGACCTCAGCATCGACACGCGTTCATCCAATCTCTACAGCCCGCAGGAGAACGCTATCGTGGAGCGCACGAACCAGATCGCCATGCGGCAGGTCAGATCTATGTTACAAGCTACGCAAATGCCTGTTTCATTATGGGGAGAAGCCTTCCTACATGCAATTGAGACGCTCAACAAGACGCCGACGCCGGTGTTGAAGGACCAGCAGTCCCCGTACGAGGCCCTGTACGGAGAGCGGCCAGACCTCAGCGTGCTGCGCACGTGGGGGTGCTTGGTGCACGCGCACATCCCTGATGATTCTCGGCAGAGAAAGGAGAAGCTCACTCCAAGGACGCAGATGTGCTTACTACTTGGCTACAGCGAGAAGACCAAGGGCTATAAGCTGCTGAACCTGCGCACAGGATCAGTGACGACGTGCAGAGATGGAAACATGAAGGCACATGAGAAGTACACGGTAAACACTGTGTATATTGAGCAACTTCTTGCAAATACCTACGCTTACGGAGACTACGACTTACCTGCGGAGATCCCGATCGTGCCGATCCGGACGACAATGTCTACGTACCTGCAGCTTCCTGCAGAGCTTGCAGAAAGGCGAGCAGCGGAGATGGCGAAGCTGGCCACTGCTGGTGAGAGCCATGACCAAGGTGTTGAAGTTGAAGCCGAGTCTGCGACTCGAAGTGATGACCCACAGCTACCAAGCGAGGACGCTAAGAAGCCAGCAGCTTCAGTGGGAGGTTCCAAGCGGAAGAACACAAAAGGCAAGAATAAAGCGAAAGCATGTGCAAATCGAGTGGGAGCCTCGAAGGCCAAGGACAGTCGACGTGATGCTCACGAAGACGAGAACTGGGAGCCATGCACGACGCAGAAGTCGTCGCCAGACGACAGTGCAGCTACGTCGCGACCGAAGCGGAAGCGACAACCATCCGCCCGACTCAAGGACTACGTAGTGACGTATGTGACGAAGCAGAACGTCGAGGATGTGCAGATCCCCATTAGTCACAAGCATGCGGCAAGGTCAAAGAAGTGGATTGAGTGGAAAGCAGCGATGCAAGTTGAGATGGACTCACAGCAGCAGCACGAAACTTGGGTGCTCGTGCGACGCACGGAGGCCAAGGGCAAGCGTGTCATTTCGTGCAAGTGGGTGTACGCGCTCAAGAGAGACTCTACGGGCCGGATTAAGCGATATAAAGCTCGACTAGTGATCAGAGGCTTTCTACAACGCATGGGCATCGACTACAGTGAAACATACGCATCTGTTATCAGATTTGAGACGATCAGATGCGTGATCGTATACGCGCTGCAACGCGGATGGGCCATCTTGCAGTTCGACGTCAAGACCGCGTTCTTGTACGGTGACCTCGACGAGGAGGTCTACATGGAGCAGCCTCCAGGCTTCGGAGAAGACTCTACGCGCTATGTATGCAAGCTACAGAAGAGTTTGTATGGGCTAAAGCAAGCGCCTCGCGTTTGGAACAAGACATTGCACAAGTTCCTGACGAAGATCGGACTCGAGCGCCTCGACTCTGACTACGGACTCTACGCCAGGAAAGTGGGAGGAGAAGTCACCATGTTGCTCACGGTGTACGTCGACGACCTACTGCTCCTCGGCCCTAGTGACCTTTGCGCTAAGGTTGCTAAGCAACTCAGTGAGGAGTATGAACTCACATCTCTCGGACCAGTCAAGTATCTACTAGGCGTGGAGATACTGATCGACAGCGAGCGTCGACATGCGGTATTTTGCCAGCGGCAACATATTACGGAGGTGCTAAAGCGATTTCACATGGAGGGGTGCAACGCGGTTGCAACACCGGAAGCGCTGCGCGCTGAGGTGGTCACAGATGCGAAAGATGACTCCCCGCCCCCGTACCGAGAGCTCGTTGGTGCACTACAATATCTGGTCTCAGCCTCAAGGCCGGACATTGCGCACGCTGTGCGTAATCTCAGCAAGTACCTGTCCTGCTTCGACCACACACACTACGCTATGGGAAAGAGGGTGCTACGCTACCTGAGTGGTACTCAAGACCACGGCTTAGTGATGGACATTGTTATTGGGAACGACGTCAAGCTGACGTGTTACACCGATGCTGACTACGCTAATGACCTTGATGACCGAAAGAGTGTTAGCGGGTTCGTGACGTTCGTCAATGGTAACGTGGTTTCGTACGGATCAAGAAAGCAAGAGATTAACGCACAGAGCACAACGGAAGCAGAGTATATTGCCATGAATGAAGGCACTAGAGATCTACAGTGGCTACGTGGACTCTGTGAAGAACTATGCTGGGAGTTCGCGACTCCGGAGATTATCGGCGATAACAAGTCGTGCATCTATCTGACTGCCAAGCCTGGCAAGCACAGCAAGAACAAGCACATTATGAACAAGTTCCACTTGGTGCACCACCTCGTGGAGAACGAGCAGCTACGGATTCGCCATGTTGGCACCGACGACATGATCGCCGACGCGATGACGAAGCCATTGCCGAAGGACAAGTTCGAACATTGCCGTGATGGGATGAAGGTGCTGCGCATCGACCGTCAGCAAGGCTCAGCTCGTTCAGTGGGAGCCAAACATCATCGCCATGCGTGAATGCAAGCTACTACTACCAGTTCATGCATGCGAAGGACAAGAAGGAGGAAGAGCGCTACCAAGGACGAAGCGTCGTGCTGCAGCGCAGCTAGAAGATGCCAAGAACATCGTGGTGAGCTCTACAAGGTGATCATGTTGAAGCTGCGCTTCGACTAGATCAAGTGGGAGTGTGAAGTGTGGAGGAAGAGCCAGGACTGCGTCCAGCTCAAACCTGAGGCTCAGGTGCCTCCAGGACGCGATGCTCGCGTCCAGAAGCCGGACTTCGACGGACCATTGGCTGGCGAGCCGCCAGCCCCATCCTACTGCTAATCCTACCAATATATGTTACCGGGGTTTTTCCGTGTGCTGCTACACACTCGACAACTTGCGCCGTCAAGAGCAAGCAGCAGCACTCGGTTTTCTCCCCTGCTGGACTTTCAGTCCCTGCAACTTACTGTTGTTACGACTACTTCCTTCATCACAATGGTCACCACTCGGCGTAGCCGAGGAGCGACCATCACTCAAGCGAGTCGTCTGAAGAGGTTCCGTACGTCTTTGGATCCGACAGCGAAGACGAAGAGGAGGTCCTGGATCCTGGAAGTATCCCAACGTGATAAACCAGCGCATCAAGTAGACAATGTCGATGCGTTTTTGCTGGATAAGACACGTAAAGAAGCTGGCCAGGTCGCTAAAAGAATATTGCAGCGAATGTTCGGTACTACACAGCATCACCTCGACGGTGTTAGCGTTTCCAGTTTCCTGTTCGTGTGGCTGGATTCGACTGTGCTGGCAAGGCTCCTGATCTTTGTGAACAGGAGCCTGGCTGATTATGCAGAAGCATCTACAGATGACATCTACAAGTTTCTTGAGGTCGAGCTGTGGCTAAGTGTTATTGGTGTAACCCCGGACTTCTTCTACGACGAGAGCAATAGGGCTCTGTATCCACCTGCTGAAGAGGCACTACCGCTGCCCAGATATCACGCTATTTTGGCAGCTTTAAGTGGCAATCCGTTTACAAAAGAAGGAGGATCCGACCAATGGACGGCACCGCTCACACCTGACAGAGACATCTCTTATGCATACGAACTCGCACGGCGGCTATCCGCAGACATTGGTTTTGTGGATGGAACAACGATAGCATCATTAGATGATGATTTGATCCGCTTGCGCTCAAAGGCAGTGGACGATATTGGCCTTACGCACGTGCGCAGCCCGAAAAAGGGGTACTGTACTTAATGATCGTGTTATGCTGTGAGGTAATTGATCTTACCAAGCGAATGTTTGGCAGATACGGCCCAGTGCAGCATGGCGTGGTATCGCTGGTTACAGGCTTGTTTTTGGGTGGACATGTGGCTGCCAACGGCGAATCAACCGTGGACATTGTGAGGATTCTTCAGAGATCACTCTGTGGATCATCGACGGAGAACCAAATTCGACTACCAGGTATTCTTCACGCGCTGGACAGAGGTTATCAGTCTCATGCTGTCAACCAACAAATTGTTGACACTGGTGGAAGTATCATCGGTACCCATAAGCGCACACAAAGTTTCCCTTTACATTTGGCAAAACACCAAGTCAGTACCAAAAATTAGTATTAGAGAAAGGAGATCGTGCTGCGTATTGGGCCACCAAAGGTATACCAGTTCAACCAGGAATGCTTCCTGCAAATGCACACGCACTTGCATACCGGTCAGGGCTTGGAAAAGTGGCATTAGGCTACACAACGTTTGCCAGCGCGGGACCTGATAGCTGGTCTTATGTATCGCGGACACTGAAGCGAGTCTCACTTCGTAGGGAGGAGTTGTTTACAGCTTTTGAAGACGGTATTCAGAAATTGACGATGGAGCAAAGAACTACAGAATGGTTTTTACTCAGGAAGTTTCGCATTACGGGCTCGGTTGCTGCAAAAATATATAGCGCCATTGCTCACAGTTACGGTGATGGTAACCGAGGTGATCCAGTCGATGATCCTGATGTTCAGGCAGTGTCATTGGGAAGTAATCGCCAACAGCCGGGTCCCGCCCAGACCAGAAGCAGTGAAAACGCAGGAGCACCGCTGCTTGAGGCAGAGCTAATCGTGAAAACGCTGGGAGATCTAAAAACCTTATGCCGTGACCTGGGACTTCGTGTATCTGGAAACAAAGCAACGTTAATTGCTCGACTTCTTCAAAATGATGCTGGGGAGGCTCTTCCTGGTCGCAATATTCGGCGAGATTCCAGATATGCAGTTGACTCAGCCCTTTTATCGACTTGGTTCATGGCGCCGTTTTCAACACCATTTACAAAGATTGGGACCGCCAACGAAGTCAATATTGCCTCGCACATCACGCTATTTCTGGAAATACACACACTATCATATCGAGGAGCTCAGAGAATACGGTTTACTGTGCAAGTAAGTGAAGCAAAATAATAATCGGGTCTGACAAGAAACTATTTTTTTTCTCTAGGAGCAATATGCCAGTAGCTGCTTTCTTACCGGATCATATTGCTGCCATCGTGTCTGTGCGATGTGGGAGATTCAATGCAGTAATGGAGTACAAAACTCGAGCTACTGCTCGCACAGTTCAGCAGGAACAAGCTGCTGCTAAAGCTTATGGTATATTCACGACAGTAGAGTTGACTGGTATGGGATCCGGCTTCCGATTGAACGCAGTGATTCCAGAGTCCAGTCACCGCCTCCAGATACTGCACAGCATTGCTTGCAGTGGGATCACACATGGATACCTTGTGTATGCATCCTCTACATACATCATTCGAGTTGTTCACGTTGTCGTGAGCGAGAGTGCATCTCACACTTACCAGAGTGCATTGAAGGCAATTGCGTTGGGCTACATGGAGTGGGTTTACACAGAAACCGCCAGCATTCCCGAGTTTGAAACTGAGCAATTAGGACACTGTGTTGATCAAGCCACGCTGGTACAAACCCTGGGGTTATGGAGGGCATTAGTGAGACTTATCAACGAGCGGCAAAACCCACTCCCTCCAGCCAAGCATATCATGCCAACTTTAATTGCGTTGTGGAATCGTGTCAAGGGGGGGATCGATGTCTATTCAAGATATCTGAAGAATGTCAAGTCCAAGCATTTCCGACTGACACCTAGTGCAACAATTTGGCTTCGTCTGCTCATGACTCTAGTGTACAATGCCTACCAGTCGTTTCTGTTATTCCAGGTAGCTAGCAGCTCACAATTCGCGCGCAGAATATGGGTTCTAACTGTGATTCTTGCAGTCACACGGTTTTTTTATGAATCGAGGACTATGTACAAGCTACAAGGCCTATCAGAAACACAAGCAAAATCTCCCCAGTTTTGCCGCATTTTGCCGAGAAGCTGCCGTTGTGCTTTCAAAGAAGGCAGGCTCTCTGCGCCCACTTAGCGATGCTCGAGACAAGGAGAATCGGTCAGGTCCACCGACATTGGAACTTTCATTCGCGTGCAACAAACGAAATCACTTCGAGTCATCCACAGAGTGGATTCATCTTCGGCTCTCTAAAAGTAATGATCACCATGAGGTACGGGACAATTGTCGCTTCATCTGCTCATAATAATGTATCCAATCAAACCGTTCAACTACAGGTCCGGATCCAGGGTGCACGTCAGAGATGCTGCATTATCTGCTGTCAAATGAATCACGACAGTGAAAATGGCAATCACACGCGTAAAGGGTACAAAACAAGCTTTGAGTGTGATATCTGCCATGTTTCACTTTGTCGCGCAGCAAGATGGAGTGATGGCGAGTCCTGTTTCGAAATTTTTCATCGTGAAAGGAAGCTGCCAGACCCATGCAAGAGGTCACACCATCTCAAGTCAACCAAGTCAAACGAAAACAGAGCACCGCCTCCATCCAGAAAGCCATCCAGAGTATTGGATCCTCAGAATCGACGAGCACCAAGCGTTCGCTTAACGAACAGGCATCGCCGACGATCATTGCGCTTGCAGCCAGTAGTCAAGGTGACAAACCGAGCAAACAGCAATTTGTTCTAAACTTTAGGACAAACTTCAGTGAAATCAGTCTTAGGAGTGCAAGATTTCAAGTAGCGTAGTGAAGCCGATTCGATATTTACTGAGTCAAGTTCGTGAAGGATAACGAAGAAGACATGACAAACATTTATCTTGTTCCTTGCATTTGACTATAAATCTGCAGGACACCACTGAAATTTGGTCCTCATTTTTGTCCTTAAAAAAATCTTGTTAGGGTTAATACCAATTATTTTGCATAGGTCGGCTGGAATTGCTCAAGTTGTCAAGGGGCTCGTGGTGGTCCTGGTATCAAATTTCAACAGCAACATTTTGGAAGTCTTAACCCCCCAAACCCGAGAGCCTGTATGAGACACGATTCCGCGAAAAGCTTAACGTGTCTGAGACACGTTAAGCTTTTATACTTAACGTTTGTATAGAACCATACAAATTGTCAGTCAAGAAGGGGTAGGCATATTTCCCATCTTTCCGCACAGCAGTACATAGCTATGCGTGTGCCTTGAACTTGGTTTTTCTAGAAAATTAGAAGACACAGGTTTAATGGGTGTCACACAAATCAGCATATAGGATTGCAGGTGGAATTCTGCGCCACCCATATCTCGGTCATTCGAGAATTTTCGCCGCTGCCGCTCAGATGTCCGGGTTCAGAGGCCGATGGCGAGAGCTTCTGAAGGAAGGATGGAAATCAAAGGCCCCTACGGGCCTGTCAAACGACTACACGTACCTTATGCCGGGGAAGACGAAGAAGGACGTACGTGGCGTGGACTTTTTCGTTGGAGAGGCTGCGTTGATGGCATATTTGGACCGTATCGCCTTGGGTAAGTAGTATCGCCTTTCAAGGTCTTTGTGTGGACTCTAATACGTGTGCTTTGCTAGAGGAGATGAAGAAAGCTACCGCGGCGAAGCAACAAGCAAAAGCGGCAGCGACTCAACCTACTCCGGAAAGTGGACAGCCTGAAACCGATGTGCCTGATAGACAAGATGGTGCGTTTGATCTTATTGTGTATGTACATGTTATGATTCTAACGCTATCGTGTATATAGTTGCTGACCGAACTGTCAGTCCAGATCCAGACACGACAAAGACTGTTTGTCCGAACATTCAGGCTACCTCTCCACACCTGGCAGAGAGTGATTTGGGCAATTCAGTTGGTGATGAAAACGGTAAGCAGTTCGAACACATTGCTTGTACCTGTGAGCTACTGCTAACGCTAACACACCACTCCCTTATAGGTACTGACGAGTATCCCAATTGTAGTTTACATGCTGAATTCGATGCTGCTGCTACATCTGGCTCAGAGTATGCCTGCTCTGAGCCTGATAGCGACGGAGAAAGCACGATGCCAGGTGAAGAAGGGCAACCGGCCGCCATACCACCTGAAAAAGTGCAACCAAGCGTCAGCGTTGCATATGGAATCAGAGCAATGATGTGTAAGCTTATGGTGTATATACATGTTAAGAATACACGTTATGGATTCTTATAGTGTATGTGGATGTAGATGACCCAAACATTATCGAGCCTGGAGATAATCCAGCAGATTTTGCAGCACTGGATTCCGATGGTGACAATGAGAATATGTCCATTTACGATGATGATGAGGACTTAGGCCTCGAAGAAGCCGACGCCGTCGTGGAGGATTCTGCTGCTGCTCCTGACTTACTTTTCGAGCCATCTCTACTTGAATCAGTTGGCGGAGTTGGAGCACTTGCGCGCGGTAGTGTACACAAGGATGTTCTAAAAGACATGAAGCTCAATGGATGGAATGGACCTGATACCCAATTGCCTTTTCCCTACATGGACGAGCCGTACGAGGCTCGGACTGATGCATGGCTTACGGAGGACTATCCCAATATTTACAGCGGGGATCACGGGCCTACTGAAGAAGCCCTTTCCGCTGCTTCGACCGCGTTGGGGTCATTCTTCTTGTTTGCACCTCCCCATCTTTGGGAAGACATTGCCGGGGCTAGTGACGACTATTTCCTTCACAATTTGGATAAGCGTGTTGGCGCACAGCGTGCAAAGCAACAAGCCCGCCACCGGAAGGACAACAATTTTGAAGTCAAATCGCAAGAACAAATCAAGGAGAATTTATTGACAACACCTGACATATCTGGAAGAGATTTTTGTATTTTTATTGGACTACTCATTGCCAGAACAATTGCGCCGAACAAGGAGAAATTTGACCACTACCGACGAAGGCGCAATTCCGCGTGGGTGCTTCGGCCATTATATGAAGCGAGATCGGTTTGCTCATCTTTCCCGCAACATGCATTTCAGTCGCAATGATGCTCCTGAGGCAGCGACGGACCGCGCGTGGAAGCTGGATCCAGTAATCATCGTACTGCAACATACTTTCCAGCGCAGCTTTGTACCGCCACCGGTCATGGCGTTTGATGAAGCGATGCTTCCTTTAAGATCGGCTTTCAATCGCATGAGAGTGTACATGAAAGATAAGCCTCACAAATGGGGGACTAAGCTCTTCATGCTGTGCTGTTCTGAGACGGCTTATTGCATCCGGTACGTTTGTGACGCGCCTTCAAGCGCATTTTTTTTTGGCTATAAAGTTGTCTTAACGTGTCTGCTACATGCTAACGATTTCTTTACCGTGTCTGATA